ATCTCATGGTTCATGAGTTCGAGCGCCCAGTCAGGCTCTGTGCTGGCAGGTTGGAGCCTGAAGCCTGCTTCTGATTCTGTATCTCCCGCTCTCTCTCTCCCCTTCCCCCACTTGCATGCTGCCTCTCTCTGTCTCTCAAAAACACTAAACAATTTTTAAAAAAGAATGCTTCTATTCTTAATCTATGCTTCTTAATAAGAATGCTTCTTATTTTTAATTATATTGAATGACTAAAATCACCTTCTTCTTTTAATACCTCACAAGGATACACTGCTCAGAATCAGGTGGTTCAAGGGATACATCACCAAGTTTCTTCCTATGGCTGTGGTAGATGACTCTTTAAAAGTCTTGAAGAAAAAAAATCATTCTGTTTCTGTTCTTGGGGTATGACTTTAGAGACCCCATACATCAAGATGTTCTGTTGCCAGAATGGACCTAAAGGCAATTGTTAAGGGAAATGCTGACTTAGTTCTAGGAATTCCTGACCTTGCAATTAGGTACTAAGGGGATGGCCTATACTACTGAGGTCATAATCTGTGATCAGCCTCTTAATCTCCATATTAGGAATTAGCCTTACTTTATAAACCTTTACTTGATTGGTGACTATAACCTGTGGGCCCATATTGAGCAGCAACTGAGAATAGTAACACTCTAGGCCATCTTTAGAGAACAGATAGTCTCAAAAGGTCAGCTCCCCATCTTCCAGTTACCAGCTTAGATCATTGATATTTATGGAAGATGACTTGAAAGATATATGTCTCCCCATTTTCCAGCCACTCTGAATTCTTTCCTTCTATCAAGCTGAGTATCTATCAAAGACCTATACTGCCTCTGTCCATTATAGAATTGCTATAACTGAGTTGGCTTTTTTTTAGTGTTTTATTTATTTCTGAGAGAGAGAGAGACAGCATGAGCAGGGGAAGGTCAGAGAGAGAGGGAAACACAGAATCTGAAACAAACTCCAGGCTCTAAGCTAGCTGTCAGCACAAAGCCTGACACGGGACTTGAACCCAAGAACCGTGAGATCATGACCTGAGCCAAAGTCGGACGCTTAACCGACTGAGCCACCCAGGTGCCCCTCAGTTGGTTTTTCAATATTATGCCTCTAGGTTATAGTTGCTGTGAGAAATTGCAATTTTAGAAAATATGGTCAAAGACATGGTCTAATACACTTCTCCAAAGACGACATCCAGATGGCCAACAGACACTTGAAACAATGCTCAGCATCCCTCCTCATCAGGGAAATACAAATCAAAACCACACTGAGATACCACCTCACGCCAGTCAGTGTGGCTAAAATGAGCAAATCGGAGAACTCTAGATGCTGGCGAGGATGTGGAGAAACGGGCACCCTCCTACACTGTTGGTGGGAATGTAAACTGGTACAGCCCCTCTGGAAAACAGTGTGGAGTTTCCTCAGGAAACTAACATTAGTACTCCCCTATGTCCCAGCAATAGCACTGCTAGGAATTTACCCAAGGGATACAGAAATGCTGATGCATAGGAGCACATGTACCTCAATGTTCATAGCAGCACTCTCTACAATAGCTAAAACATGGAAAGAGCCCAAGTGTCCATCAACGGATGAATGGATCAAGAAGATGTGGTTTATCTATACGATGGAATACTACATGGCAATGAGAAAGAATGAAATCTGGCCATGTGTAGCAACATGGATGACCTTGAGGGTGTAATGCTGAGCAAAATAAGTCAGGCAGAGAAGGACAAATATCATGTTTGCACGTATAGGAGGATTAGAAGGGACTTAACGGAGGACCATGGGGGAGAAGAAGGGGGGAAATGGTGGGGGAAAGGGAGAGAGGCAAACCATGAATTCTCTTGAATGCTGAGAAAAAAACTGAGGACTGATGGATGTGGGGGGGGGGTGGGCACAGAGGGGGGCACTTGTGGGGATGAGCACTGGGTGTTATATGGAAACCAACTTGACAATAAACTATTTGTAAAAAGAAAAAAAAAGACATGGTCTAATAAAATCTCCTTAATAAAATATCCTTGGGAATCAATTTTGGAATAGCTCTGCTTTGCCCTTGGACCTGGTATGCTGGGTATAATGAAAACTATGTATCTTACTATGTCTTATTTTTCCCCTTGGCTACTCCGAAGCTCAGAGCCAAATACACACACACACACACACACACACACACACACACACACACCCATGCACATATACACACAAGTATATGCTTACATATGGAAACAAGTTTTTAATGTCCTTTAATTCTTGTTCCCTCTTGAATTCTTTTTACATTCTTTCTTGTTTATATAAATGATACAATGTGATCTTTTAAAAAATTTCCTAAGTTACCTCATAAATAATTCTCTACAGATGTTCCCTCTTCCTTTTTGGTGTTTCTAATTTGCCTACAAATTGGTTTCTGTCTAGCAACCAATGTGGTTAAACTGAGAAAAACATCAACAGTTTTTTAATACCCTATTTACAGAGTAAGAATTAAATCACCAGTGCTGAATGCAGTCGTGGCAAACATTCCCTCCCTGCAAATTCTCTGTGGCTTGAAAATACCCAGGCTAATTGATCCTGGAAATAATTGGAAGGCAATTGGATTTTTGTGCTGTAAATAGTTATGCTTCCAAATGAAGAACTTAGCAGTGGGAACTTCTGCAGGTATAACAGGCTAGAGTGAGGACCATTAGGAGAAAGGGCTAACCTTACTAAGGGCCAGGCTAGTGCTAAGGTATGTTAGCTTTCTGCTACTGGTGGTGATATGCTGGAGGTGACTCTTACCCACTCATAAGAGCTAATTGTTAAAATTTCAAGAGTTTTGCGAGCCAGTTGATATTATGTTGATTAAAATAGGCCATGGGAGGAGTACTTCTACCATGTAAACTGGAAGATGCCACAAATCAGCCCCTCCATCCCCAGATTGCTGGTTGTTAGACATTTACCAGTCCACCACCACTTGTCTGGCTTATCACACACAACTAGCAAGGAAACAGGTATTTCTTTCCCCATTTTATAAATGAGGAAACAGACCAAAAAAAAAATCTTTAGGCTTTAGGGAGAAATTACAGAGAGAAAAAAGTTCCGTAACAGAAACTGCCAAAGCAGGAATAGGTAGAGGTACAGTGCTGACCCTAAGGGCTATATTCAGAGAAAAAGTATCTTATTCAGAGGGAAGCAATGAGCTAATCTAAGGAGAGCACCAAGTAGAGGTTCAGAAGGCTGTGAGGAGAACAATTTCAGTGAGGGACTAAGAGACCAAAGAAAAAGGCATCCAAGGGGAACTCTACCCCTTCAGCTCCACGTCTCCCTATGTAGGTTTCAGAAATCGCAAGAAATTCCACCACCACCACCCCCGAAGTAGAAAGGGTTTGCTCAAGCTTGAAGACAAGAATTGGGCTATGTTTCCCTGGAGGTGAAGCTTTTAGAAAAGTTAAAAAAATCAGTATACAATAGTGCATTTCTTTTCCTCCAGATCTACCTCCTATCAGTGACTGAAATGGAAAGGGCCCTTGGCTGTCCCCAGCACCCCTAGCTGCCTTCCTCCTTTTTGTGCCCCCTCTTTTATCTTCCAGCAGTTAGATCCAAGGCAAGGAAGAGCATTGGCTCAAGAAAGTCCAATACAGCTGCCAGTGCCAGCTCAGCTATAGGGCATCCAGGTGAGGTTTAATTTACAATGAATTTAGGTTTGGAGCTAACTAATCACCAAGTATTACTCTTCCAGGCATTGTTCTGGTATATTATTTCCCTCAGGAACCTTGAGGGGAAGAGGAATTGTGGTCTGGGCCATGGTTAAGGTAAGCCTAGATCCATGGTACCACCCATTATTGTTTTCCCAGAGATCATAGGAGTGAAGAGCTTATATGGGTCACAAGTGGCAAAGCCAGAATTTAAACCAGGTACTATTACTATAGGGCCGCTGCTCTATCCAGGGAGCTGTTTCTGTGACATTGGGCTGAGCCAAGAGACCTTGGGTGAAGGTCTCCTGCTCGGGTCCCATAGGAGAGTTTAACCTCTCTCCTCATATGCTGATCTGTTTTCTGAAAAAGGGAGAAAGAGTATGAAGGCAGTTAAAGTCCTTTTTTCTATGAATGATACATTAAAGTAATTAATGAGATCATATCTATATAGTACTTAGTTAATAATTGGCTCTTGATTGATGGTAGCTAATTTTGCAACCTATTACTAAACTATAATTACAGTGATTCTTAGTCCGGGACCAAAATGTGAAATCTGAATTATAACTAGTTCAACCAGCACCCCTTCTACCTCTGCTCAAATATTTTGTCTTATTCTAGAATAATTAAAAGAGAATTTGGAGCTGGGATTCAACTAGTTCCCCAGCTGTTCAAAATGTAATGTAAATGATGATCTAAAATATTTCCTTAGGATTTCCTGAGTTTCTACCTGAGTTTATAGAGGAAAACCTTTAGCCAAGACATCTAACTGCTACCTCTCCTTCTTCTGACATTTATGAAGCCACCTTTGGCAGATCCTAATGGATATGCATACCCAACCACCAACTCCTTCTTCTGGCTTACAGATTCCTGATTTTACCCATGTAGAGGAATGCAATATGTATAAGAAAGACTACTTCCAAGGGTGAACAATGATTAGTCTAAACCAAACATGGTAATCCATTCCCCTTGATCACAGATGGGTTTAGAAGTGTGTATTTCACCAAATTCTGGCCAATAGAATCTGAAAAGACATTTGTTGGCACTTCTGCAAAATTGGACAGAAATGTATGCAAGAGAAACTTCCTCCTTTCCTGATTTAGTTTTGATATGAAGCAGTAGCTGCCATCTTAGCACCACAAAAAAAGGCCAAGAAGATAATAGGAAAGCTGATCCCAAGTCCTAATATTGTTAAACCAAAGAACTAACCCTGAATTATCTACCTTAAGGCTTATTATGAGAGAAAAATAAATCCAATTATTTAAACACCATGTAGACACATACTCTATAACTTGCAACCCAAATCATCCTAATCTATATACCTTATTATTTTACAAACTTACCCCAAAATCCCCATGAAGTGGTGGCAAGAAAATCCCATTGAAGGAACAGTGGGAGTATGGGCAGTAACTGGTGTTGAAGAGTTCAAGGATGCTTCGATGGCATTGTTGATAGTTTCCAGTGCCCTGGATTTGAAACTGATCGAATGGAAGAGTCATCTCAAATCTCTTGGTGCAGGGGCTACTGTAAAGTTCACTTACATTCATTACTGTTTCGTATCCAGGGTGAAAGCATGGGTCCTTGAGGATTCCGTTTGTACCCTGAATGGAAAAATCACACGAAGACATCATGTGCAAATGCTTTGGATGCAAAAGCATCACTCTGCCTTCATTAGTGTGTAGGAATTTTATAAGATCTTAGCATTGGCATCAATATGCCCCGGCCATGCCTTTTTCAGATTTGTATAATAGGCACCAGAAGTGGTATCGGATATAAATGAACTTTCACTATTCATAGAAAGCTAATAGAGTTCAAGTTGGAAGAAATGCCATTATTTTGGAATGTCCCCTAGTGCTTAATACAAGTGAAAGATTCACAAAGAAAACTCTCAAGGCTCTCAAGGAGTCTGCCCATACCCCATCCCCACTTTCAAGCAAAAAATTAGAAGCTCCAAGAGCTGAAAATGCCCTAGAGCACTTAAGCCAGGAGTATCAAAATGGTTTTTAACCCACAACTCAGTATGTTAAAGAGAAGAAAGGGAGTTGTATGAAAAAAGGCTTAGTGGAGTCTTGGGCTCAGTACGTATCTCTCAGTAGTCCCTATTCCAATGGGAGTCACCCTATTGACAGTCACTTGGGAGCCCCTATTCCAATGGGAGTCACTTTTGGGAACCAGAGTGAGAGCTTTGGAGGAGAGCAGAGAACTGATTGTCCTTTCAGTGGAGACTAGGAACAGCTGGATGTGACATCCTTGCTGTATGTGTCAGGGTGTGCCTGGTAGTCACATGATTTTGAGTATGTTTAACTTTTCTTGTCTTTATAAGACAAAAAAATGTCTGGAGAAAAGACTTAGAGTGTTGATGGATAAACTATGTTTTCCCTGAGTGTTTTCCTCCTTCTCTCCAGGCTGTTGCTAACTTTTTTGCAGTTTGTTGGAAATAGAGACTAAAAAGTGCTAAAGAGCTTATAAATTGCACACTCTCCCAACAATACTCTAGAATTCAGTTTTCACTGTCAAGTCCACAGAGGTGAGAAATTATTTGCCAAGAAAGGATTTGAATTGTGTCCTTGGAGACAGCGTAGTAAACAAACACAGGAGGTGATGTCTGGATGGGACGATTCACAGGGGTCGACCAGATGTAGTTAGATATCCTGTTTGAAAAGGTTTGGAAAGTATAGCAACCAAGTTCAGACCAATTACTAAAGTAGAAGGAGACAACAGGATGTGGGGGCTGGTGGCCCAGATGTGAGGAGGGTGGGTCTGGATTCAGTTATACTTGCCTGAATGTCCTTGGCCAGTTTCTGCCTGAGCGCTTGATCCTTCCCATAGCATAAGAAGCTGTGCGTGTACACGCTGTAGTCCTTGCCATAGAGGCGAAAATACAGAGCGTTGCTTGGAGACTCAATCCCCTTGTCTTCCGGCACAAAAGTGATTTGTGTAGAAGCTCCCCCAAGGTCTAAAGCTCCATAGGTTTCCTGAGAATTGCCCCCATTTGGCTTCAGGCTGAGCCAACTCAATTTCTGAAAGAGAATACAGTCACCAGTGGTAGCAGTCTCTGGACACCTCTGTTTCACACAGAGACTCAGGGACTTCCTAAAGTAAAGAAAATGGGACATAAGGTGACACAAAGGTCACTGACGATTCCTGAGTCTGGATCAGGTCAACAACAAGTTAAGGGACTTCTCGGGGCTCCTGGGTGGCTTAGTCGGTTAAGAGTCCGACTTTCGCTTAGGTCATGATCTCGCGGTTCGTGGGTTCGAGCCCTGCGTCGGGCTCTGTGCTGACTGCCAGCTCAGAGCCTGGAGCCTATTTCAGAGTCTGTGACTCCCTCTCTCTCTGACCCTCCCCTGCTCACGCTGTCTCTGTCTCTCCTAGAAATAAATAAAAATATATATATATAAAAAAAACAAGTTAAGGGACTTCTAAGATGTAGCTCAGACTGCAGCAACATAGAAGTGGCATAGCCAGTGTTTATGAACAAGGAATGAGAGCTGAAAAGACTCAAGTTCAAGTCTCTACTCATTGTTCATTAGCCATGTGACCTGGGGCAGAATAATTACCTTTTCTAGGCCTTAATTTGACACTCTAAAATGAGAGAATTCCTCATATCGTTCTGAGGATGAAATCATACAGTACATGGAAAGTGCTTAGCACAGCACAAGACACACAACACTAGGCAAATATTTGATATTTTTATTTTTAATGATAGCTTTTTTATTTCCTCTCTGTCTTCCTAAGGTGAAGGTATGATTTACTTATTCTCCAAGAGGAAATGTTCTTATGCAAAAATTCATCAGAATACTGTTGGTGACCCTTGAAATTGTGGAGATAAATTACTTTGTCCATTCATCCATCATTCATTCTGGCTACTGATCCAAATCCTGCCTGTGATAGCAATGGCACTGACCTCCTGGGAGCCACCTCCTGTGGGTGCTGTGAAATAATCACCTGAGTGAATTTGCCCAGCAGATAGTTGATAGTAATCCAGCCATAGGCACCTTCCTCTTGGCCAGTGATGATTCTAGCACCATGGAAGTCAAAGTGGTAGTTGCTGAGGCTCTTCGTCACCATACCCAGGACCTTGTCTGCCAACTGTTCATTTTCCATCCTGCACAAAGAAGAGCTGAATGTATCAGTTTTGTTGAACAAATACAAGTACTCATTTCAGTCAGAGCTTCCAGCAACATTCCTAGGAAGTGAACCATAACTCACTGGAAAAAACAGAGATAGAGAGCCACACACAGAGCTGTCTGAGGAGCTCTCCTTGTGGATGAGGCAGAACTAGTCTTTTGGCCCCCCTCTCGAAATCCAGATCCTTCCAGTCCCTATATGGACTGCTTTTCCTAAAATACCATTTTTGTTGTTGCTCCCTGACCCCAAGATATTACCAAAGTAATTTTAATTTGGGGGGGGGGGCGGTGATGGCTGGATATTGGTTAAACACCACACCTATAGATGATGAATGCTACATTAGCCATTGCTGGTGGCTTCCAGCTAGTTCCAGAGTCAGGCTCTGCTTGAGGTTTTTAATTAGGGCTGTAGTAGACACCAGGTGGCAAATGTCCTGGAACAGATACCAAACCTCCATTGGGGTCAGGCTGGGAAAAAATCTTATTCACATTGTATCTCAGTTCTTGGGTCTGTCTGAGGCAATGAGACCTAAAGAAGGAATCTTCCAGGGTTGTCAAAATGAAGATGGGATACATCTGCTTCTGAGATCTAAGCTACACAACATTGAGAGCCTCTAGGCCAGAGAATGCTGTCTTCCAACCAGCACTGAAACCTCTCCTCACTCATCTGAAGCTTCATACCCTCCCCCTGGATGCCTCATCCCCAGTTATCCTCCCTCCCAATCCACCTCTCTTCCAATGTCACCATCTGTGTACCATCCTGTCACGGCTACCCATTATCTCCTAGATGAACACCAAACTCCCAGCGTGGTCTGCAAGGCGCTTCATGAGCTGCCTCTTCAGAATTCCACTCAGAATCCTGGTCCTCTTACTTACCAGGTGTGTGAATTTGGGTGAGTTACTCTGCACGTGTATGCCACAGCTTCCTTATCTGGCTAATAATAGCCAATAATACCTCTTCAAAGAGTTATGATGATTAAATTAAAGCGCAGTGCTAACAACATAGTAAGGGCTCAACAAATACAAGTTGCTTCATCACTATTATTGTTATTATTATTATTTTACTATATGTAGTCTATGTTCTATCAATGCAGAACTATTTATGGTCCTTTGAACATGCCCTGGTTTCTTGCTCATCCCTACATTTGCACATCTATTAGAACACAAACTTCAGGAAGGCAGGGACTGTGTCCTCTTCACTGCTATATCCCCAGCACTTGGAACATTATCTGCTACATAACAGATGTCAGAGGAACATAGGTAATAGAATTCATGATGTCTTCTCTGCCTTTAATGTGCCCTTCCCCCACCCTCCAACTTGTCCTTCATGATTCAGCTTCTGTGTTCCGTCTTCCCGTTCTGGGCAGGGCCAGATGTGCTCCCATAGCAGCTCTGAACACCCCTCTGTTGAAGAACTTGGTGCTGCAAAGCATTAGCTTGGGAAGCGCAATGTTTACACCTGATGACCAGGGCAATAGGCATAATTAAGCAACAATCTTCCTTTGGGAGAATTTATTCACTCCCTTCTTATTGCAGTGGTTCCTATCTCAGGGATACTGGACTTTCTGATGCAGATGAACAATTAAAGCAAGAAAAGCTTCCCTTTTTTTCCTTTTCTGTGGCAGTTACAATTTTGACTTCAGTCCTGAGAAAAACACCAGCTTTTGAAAACAAGATGTCTGCTTTTCCCCCCCCAAACCCCATGCTTTGAAAAGCATTTATAAATCCCAGTCTTAAACCTTGCATACCAGTATGGCTGTTAAGATCTACATTTGTTTCCTAGTTCATAAAATTTTGGGTTCTACATAATACACACACACATATATATATATATACCCTGATGCCAGATTTTTCATAAATACTCCATCTACTGTAAATATTGGTTCTTCTGAGTTGTTTTAGAAAATTAGTGCAACGTATTAAAATCAAGTGTCAGGAAATTTCATGGCCTCACCTGTAACAACTTTTGTTTTGGAATTGGATTATTATTAGGAATTGGACTGTAACTAAATTGTATCTAATGCTGGACTATATTTAATTATACTCAGTGCTTCTTAAGGCTTCATAAAGTAATTTTTCCAATTAAAAAAAAAACTGTATCAAAACTGATCTCCTTGAGAGCTGAGTCCCCTACTTTCATGTCCCAGGACAGAGTAGGCAGTCAATAGATGCTGAATGAGTGAATGAATGAATGAATGAATGAACGAACAAAAATAATGCACACAGGTACTAACTGGTGACCAATTAAGACATGCTAGTTGTGACTATTTGTGTCTTGGGACCTTTGTGGTCTCCTCAGGTCTTCCTCCTCCCAGATATTGGATAGCTACAGTGGTAGCCTCAAATTCCAGAGGACAGAAGTTCTGTGTGCTCCTGCCCCCTTGAATTCTCTGTGGGGAGACAGGGAAGAGGACTTTTTTTAAATCTTACTTTAAATTCCCACCATTACACATACTAGGAATTTGGGAGTTTTACTCACTTCCTGAGGTTTTCTTTCTGAAGTGAGGCCATTTAGGATATCTAAATTTGGGGTGCTAGGGAAGTGTGGCACTATCCCATAACTTCAGAGGCTTTCACAATGCCAAGCCTAACCCCCAGCCACTTTCTGTCTCCACATGCTGCTATACCTGAGCAACCTCATGCCTGCCGTAGCTCCCAGGTAAACAGGCGTCCCTTGGTGCTGGGACTGTGGAATCACTTGACTGGCTCTTTCCATGCATTCAGTCAGATAAGCATCTATTTCATTTACTCTTTGAGCATATCTTGAGATTCCGGGACCTAAGGAAAGATGTAGAAGCGGATGACAATCATTTTTAAAAGTATGGGACACACTTTGACAATATTAGAGCAAAATACTGGTGTCTTTTGAGAAAATCAAAGAAGACAATTTCTTGATGTGATATATGAAGTTATATGTGATGTGATATATTAAGATATATTAAGTTGGTGTACTTAGAGGGCGACTCTCTGAAACGGCCTTGATAGGATCTATTTTCAGGCCTCTGGCTGGGTCTGTCCACTGTTCAATAATTTTGCCGCTGGATGGCGCAATTTTCACATTCAATTGCATAACCTTCCTCATAGGTTCTCAAATTTTGATGGGGATCTCTCATAGATCTAGCTACCCTAGAGAGCTGCTTTTTGATGTTTCTTCTATAAAGTTGTAACTAACAACACTAATTCCTAGAAGACCTAAAAGGAGAAATAAGACATGTAGAACAAAAATTAAAATAAGCATTAGTTACACTCGCTTTTACTGAAAAGACAGGAACTGCTACTAACTAGCTATTTGTCATGGCCAGTCCCCTAAAGTTTCTGAAGTGGAGTTTCTTCCTTTGTTAGAATTAACAGGTTTAGAACTCATGTCTCCTCAGAGATTTTTTCCACTCAAATCCTGTCTCTCTAGTGAAACTGTTTCTCCAGTTTTAGAGCAAAACTAACTGTTGCTAAGGAGAGGATTAGAGTCAAGTTTCCTTAAGCTTTTTGAAGTTACGCTTAATAATTTCAGCTCACTTTAAAATAAACATCTACAGTGTCAGCGCTTTTTAGTGAAGATGTGAATTAAAGATAATGGTCAGATATGTTATCCATATCTTACACAGGTTTTTTATTTTTTTATTATTTTTTAAAATATTTTTTATTTATTTCTAGGAGAGAGAGAGAGAGAGCATGAACAGGGGAGGGTCAGAGAGAGAGGGAGATACAGACTCTGAAATAGGCCCCAGGCTCTGAGCTGGCAGTCAGCACAGAGCCCGACGCGGGGCTCGAACCCACGAACCGCGAGATCATGACCTAAGCGAAAGTCGGGCACTTAACCGACTAAGCCACCCAGGTGCCCCTTTACACAGGTTTTTTAAAAAGCCTGTTTATTTAACAGTAATGAAATGATCAGCTCTAAGTTATCAGCTAACCGTTTTGATTCAAAAATTCTAGCCATCAAGAACTGGTGGATTTCCACTCACCTTTAATCTAAATATTTGATTAGAGAATTTTCCCTTTTGAGAAAGGAAAAGCCCTGCACTTGTTAAGACAGACATTCATGGGATGAGTCTCAGAAGAAAGATAGCTACTAAATTAAAAAAAAAAAAAAACTAACAACACTTTAAAAAAACAGAAGGCAGTGAATTAACTAGAAGCCAGTAAAATGAGGGATTTGAGCTTTAAGAAATGCTTAAAGTTTTGTCTCAAAATGGACGAGGCTAACATCAGAGGACATCAGGCTACTGGGTAAAATGACTTGCTCTCTTGGAAACATCTCCTCTCTACTGCTTTCTTGGAAAACTTTGAAAATTGGGGGACCTCAACAGGCCATCGAAGTAAAAGTCAGTCCTCTGGGAGCTAGATTACCTGTCTGACTAAAAATATACAGTGGGTCCCTGATCAAAAGGCCAAGAGAGATAAAGGTCAGAGAGAGGATGGTGCAGTGTGATAACATTCAGTGCATGCTGGGGTATTGCGTGGATGAAGTGTAAGGAATGGCATGGACAACTCTAACCTGTTCTGTGACCTTAGAAGAAAACTAACTAGGAACAAAAGTCAGTATATAATGCAGTGATTCAGAGTAACAGCGAGCCTGGAGTGCAGTTAAGAAACCTAGATTCTTGGGATGCCTGGGTGGCTCAGTTGGTTAAGTGTCCGACTTTGGCTCAGGCCATGATCTCATGGTTTGTGGGTTTGAGCCCTGGATCAGGATCTGTGCTGAGTGCCAGCTCAGAGCCTGGAGCCTACTTCAGATTCTGTATCTCCCTCTCTCTCTAACCCTCCCCTGCTTACTCTCTCTTACTCTCTCTCTCAGAAATAAATAAAATATTTTTAAAAGAAAGAAAGAAAGAAACCTAGATTCTTGTACTGGTTCTGTTGCTACCCATAAGTCACTAGTCTTCCAGGTTTTTGGTTCCTTCTTTGGGAACAAGATTTAAATGATCCACAAGGTCCTTTTCCTAGGCCTAGGAGTCTATGATTTTGGCCTTCAGTGAAAGGCCAAAAGGCTTTTGAAAATTTCTTCCAAGCTGTAGCTTAGGGGACAAAGATTAAGAGCAACAATTCTTTGGACCAACAGCATCAATTCACCTGGGAACCTGTTAGCAACGCAAATTGTGGGGCCTGTCCCAGACCTACTGCATCCAAAACTCTGGGGGTGGAGCCCAGCAACAGTGTTTTAACAAACCCTCCAGGTGGCACTGCTGCAGATTCAAATTTGAGAACCACTGGAGAAGTCGTGGGTTCAAAGTTGAGCAGCTCTCCATTTGAACCTCAATTCCATTAATTACTAGCTCAAAGCAAACTTAATAAGTGGCATAAACTCTCTCAAGCTCAATTCCCTCATTTTTATGTTATTATATTTTTTTATTTATTTTGAGAAAGAGAGAGCATGAGTGAGGGAGGGGCAGAGAGGGAGACAGAGAATCCCAAGCAGATTCTCTTGCAAGGCTTGAACTCATGAACTGTGAGATCATGACCTTAGCCGAAATGGAGAGTTGGGCACTTAACTGATTGAGCCACCCAGGCACCCAATCCTCATTTTTAAACCATGGGACCAATATTCCATATATCAGAGGGAGACTGTGAAAATGAAATAATGCATCTACAGCACTTGGTGCATGGCACATAGAAGTGTCTGGTTGATGGGAGCTACCATATTACTCAAGGGTTTTTAAGTTTGTTTCTTCCTCAAGGGCTCCATCATTAAGGACTGATTTCAATATTATTTTTATAATGACAATAAAATAGCAACAACAGCACCTCCACTATATTCTTTTACCCAACTTCCTTTTTCTCATGTGTTCCACATGCCACACATGTTCTCATGTATGTTTCTTTTCATGTTCTCCTGCCCCACTGTCTCCCCTTCCCCTTTTCCTTCATCTTACCTTTCAGCTTGCATTCTTCTATCTGGTGTACCACCCCTGTGTCATTCTCCTTTTCCGCTGGCCACTTATAGATGTACAAACTTGTGTGAGAAGAGCCTGCATCCAGCACAATCCCATACTGAGGGTAAAACAAATCAAGAATTTATCAGCATTACATTATTCTTCTCCATACTTGGCTTGCAACAGAAAGGAGACAAAGACAGGAGATTTCAAAAGCATGAAGAGAAGTATTTTATTTTATTTTATTTTATTTATAGTTTATTTATAGTTTATTGTCAAGTTGGTTTCCATATAACATCCAGTGCTCATCCCAACAAGTGTCCTCCAAGGAGAAGTATTTTAATTCAAGATGGACATGGGGGTGGAGAGGGTATGCCTGGTGTCACCCTGATCACAAGACCTACCAGGACACCAATCCGTATAGAATAGTGGCTCTTAATGTTGGTTGCACATTAAAAATTAAAAACGCCTTACCCAGGATGGGGCCTGAGACTCAATATGAATTAGAATCTTCTCAAGTGATTCTAATGGCCAGCCAGGAATCAGAACCCGTATGCTGAAGCAGCTGAGACAATGTGGATGGAATGGAAAGCCACGAATCTGGCAGTGCCCAAACTTATGTGTACACTGGGGTCATGTCAGAATCATCTAGAGAGCCTCAGAGGCTACTGATGCCTGTGTTCAAACCCCAGTTGTATGATTTAATTGGTCTGGTATGTGGCCTGGGCTTTGGAAGAGACACATGGAAAGTACTAAGTGTGCTTGCTTTTTTAATTATGAATATAACTATACATTGTATTCAACAAATTTTTTAAAATATGTATTTTCATGTTTTGGGCTTTTGCGACTAAGGGGGTATGAAAGGAAGAATAAAGGAAGACAAACAGTGGGAAGACAGAGGGAAGAAGTCAGTATGAGAAGGAACTAAATGGTCAGAGGAGAAAGGGGGAAAGAACAAAGTCCTCACATTACATTTCATGAGTACATTAAATGTACCAGGGAAATGTTGTATGAAGCTTTTCATAAGTTTTCTCACTTGCCTCTCAAAACAGTGCTGTAGTGTAGGTACTCTTTTTATCCATGCTATATCGGTAAGAAACTAAAGTACAAAGAAGTTAAGTAATTGACTCAAGATACAGAGCTAATAGGTGACAGAGCCTGGATTTGGATCAGAGTCACACCCAAGACCTCATGCTCTGTATACAGAGAAACATAAGAAAAAAGGCAGAACAACCATTCTCAAACTGATACCCCTTTAAATAAGACTTTTAGTGAGGGATGATTATAGCCAAGTGCACAGATTTTAGGTGTGAATCCCAATGAAATTTTGCATATGTGCACATCCATATACAACACCACCAATACTGAGATTAAGAACATTTTCTACTCCCGAGAAGGCTTCCTTCTCATGGGAACCATTGTCTTGATTTCTGTCACCACACATGAGTTTTACTTATTTTTGAGCTGCAATAAAGGGACTCACGCTGTGTGCCTCCTTTATGTGTAGCTTCTTTTGTGCTATACTGTCTCCTAGATGCTCCCATACTGTGTGCAGCAATAGCTCATCCTTTTTTGTTGCTGTAGAATATTTCATTTTTTATTGCATGCACTATATTTTTATCCATTCTGTTGTTGATGGACATTTGAGTTGTTTCCAGTTTGGGACTATTGGGCATATAACTGCCAGGAACATTCTTGCACATGTCATTTTGTGGATATAAGCTCTCATTTCTTGTGGATATCTACCTAGGAGTAGACTGCCGAATGCCCTTTTTGATCATTTCATCTTCATCTTTAGTTACATCCCTAAGTTCAGTCAGGAAAAATGCCATGATTGAATATCAACATCTGCCCTGATTTGTGAGGACAGCATGATGGTACATGTACTTTTATTTATCAGCCCTATTCTAGAGAGAAACATGAAGGAGAGCAAACGGGGAAGCAGAAGGAAGAGAAAAAGAGGAAGCACTTGTACAGTGTGAGCCAGTCACTCTCATCACACTTTCCTACTGTGGCCCTCAAAGTGTGGTCTGCCTCTTGATAATGCTCAACTCAGCAGTTGTTTTATATATATCCTCCCACGCTGTCTTATTACTTGGTAAGAACCTAAAACCCTTCTAGGGAGAAAAGGAGACCAGAATGAGGATTCAAGAGACCTCCCTCGACCACTGGGAAGGGCTACAAGTGGAGTCTGCTGAGGTGGCAAGCTTTATTCCTTTTTTCCAGATCAGGGAGTATCGGTGTGCAGCAGTGGGAGGATCCTTGACCCTCCATAATGTGCACAGTGTTCTCAGCTTAGTTACACACAGAAGGACTCCCTGTGGCACTGAGCACTGTGCCCTTGAAAAGAAGGCCTGGATACTTGGCCAGAAGGCAAGCTGGACAGGCTCTTCCGCAAGCAGGCTTGCAGGGAAAGGAGACCAAAAATCGACTTAGGTAGTGACTGCTGCAGGCAGATAGAGGAACACCTGGTGTCTGGGGCCTCTGGAACCGTGGAAAGCCTCCCGGAGTGGAGAAAGAGGCTCAGGGGTTGCACAGCAGAAAATTCTGTTGTTCTCTGGCAGGGCCCGTGAATTCTTCCTGCCAGAAATGTTTCGACCACAACGGCAGATGATAAAATCTATTGAGGCAGCAGCAGCAAGCAGTCTCTCCCTGGAATCAGGATGATCTATTCTGTCTTTGTTGATACGAGAGTCACTCTTCCAGTAAAGCAAAAGAGTCAGTCTTACTTTTATCAGCCTGCTTCTCGAAGGGCTTACACCGAGAGGTGGCTGAGAAACTATACTTTTCACTACATTTCACTTGTCAAATGTTTGAGAAGATGGCAGTGTATACTGTAACGCAGGCATTGAGGACATTTCACCTTGTGAATACAGCAGACTGGAATGCCAGTCTGTTGAATTGTGCCAAAAATTTTTTGTCTTCAGAAGTGGTTTGCAGAGTAAAGAATTGGCATCACTTGCTGCTTGAGGGACAGATAAAGCTTGATAGTATGAACATTTTATTGGAGCATTTTGGAAATTTGCCATGCATTGTTACAAAACTGTCAGCATTTTTACTCATTTTCATAGCTGGCCCATCTTAGAGCTAGAAGTGTATTCCATCTAATCTTTCTATTTGATAGATGAGAAACTATGTCTGGTACAGGTTGACGATTCGCCTACCAAGTACAGACAGTGAAGGCCTTAGGAGACCCATGCAGGGCCCAAGTGGCTACCTTTTGCTTCTTTTTCACAGCAGCATTTACAGTGCATATGCCAGGGAGCATAAATCCTACAAGGATCCAGGCAAATAAAACTTCCCATGAATTTAGGGAAAGCTGAATGCGTTCCTTCTGTCCCTCCCTCCGTCCCACCCCCCCTTCTCCTCGGCTCACAAACCCACTAAGTAGTGAAGGCTTCAGAGAAGACTGGTGTTGGAGAAACTCGCCTAACTTTGTTTGAGCCAGCATTCCCTAGACTCCATGACAACAGAATTCTGTTTAAAATAAAACTCTCTGGGGGCGCCTGAGTGGCTCAGTCAGTTAAGCATCCGACTTAAGCACAGGTCATGATCTCATGGTTTGTGGGTTTAAGCCCCACGTCAGGCTCTGTGCTGACAGCTAGCTCAGATCCTGTTTCAGATTCTGTGTCTCCCTCTCTCTCTGACCCTCCCCTTCTCATGCTCTCTCTCTCAGAAATAAATAAAACATTAAAAAATTAATTAATTAATTAATTAAAAAAATAAAACTCTCTGGCACAAAAACAGACACACAGACCAATGGAATAGAATAGAGAACTCAGAATTGGACCCACAAATGTATGGCCAACTAATCTTTGACAAAGCAGAAAAGAGTATCCAATGGAAAAAAGACAGCCTCTTTAACAGATGGTGCTGGGAGAACTGGACAGCAACATGCAGAAGAATGAAACTAGATCATTTTCTCACACCATGCACAAAAATAAACTCAAAATGGATAAAGGACCTGAATGTGAGACAGGAAACCATCAAAACCCTAGAGGAGAAAGCAGGAAACAACCTCCTTGACCTCTACCGCAACAATTTCTTACTTAACACATCCCCAAAGGCAAGGGATTCAAGAGCAAAAATGAACTATTGGGACCTCATCAAGATAAAAAGCTTCTGCATGGCAAAGGAAACAATCCATAAAACTAATAGGCAACCAACGGAATGGGAAAAGATAGTTACAAATGACATACCAGATAAAGGGCTAATATCCAAAATCTATAAGTAACTCACCAAACTCCACACCTGAAAAACAAATAATCCAGTGAAGAAATGGACAGAAGACATGAACAGACACTTCTCCAAAGAGGACATCCAGATGGGCAACAGACACATGAAACAATGCTCAGGGTCCCTCATCATCAGGGAAATGCAGATCAAAACCACACTGAGATACCACCTCACGCCAGTCAGAGTGGCTAAAACAAACAAATCAGGAGACTCTAGATGCTGGTGAGGACATGGAGAAATGGGCACCCTCCTACACTGTTGGTGGGAATGTAAACTGTTGCAGCCCCTTTGGAAAACAGTGTGGAGGTTCCTCAAAAAATTAACAATAGAACTCCCCTAAGACCCAGCAATAGCACCGCTAGGAATTTACCCAAGAGATACAGGAGTGCTGATGCATAGGGGCACCTGTACCCCACTGTTCATTGGGGTGCTCTCAATATTACTTTCTATTTTAAAAGTACTAAATATTTATTAAATAGCATCTAGGAAATGAAGGGGAAAGGAGTAAAAAGATACTTAAGATCCTACCCACTAGACATCACCATCATTTTTATTTATCTCCTTTTGGTCTTTCCTAAATGCATAAATTTTTAGATAGCTGAAATCTTACTGTTGCATACAATTTTATCTTAAGCTAGTTTTTAATCATACACATGGTTTTAAAATCATAACCAATCTGCTTAAGCTATGTTGAGTGAATAGAAGGCAGTGTTCTAAGAAAAAAAAGGAACAGTAAAAATGACCTTGCTTGGTTCATGGAGAGGCCAATGTAGGGCCTTTGGTGAAGACCTGGAGATGCAGGTGGCAACAGACCCTGAGCCCACAGAGACTGGAGGTCACGTGGATGTGGGCCAAAACTCTCCTTAAGATGGAAGTAATTCT